CTGGTTGCCTTCCAGGCCAGAGGTTTAATCCTCTTGATAATTTTAAACGTATTGTAGTGTTCACAGTTCTCTGTACTACATACGGCTTCCTGTTAATATAAGGCCAATCTTCCACGTTTATTATTTTAAAGTTAAAGTAGAGTTTAGTTATATTTTTATATTCTTACGTTTAGACCACGAGTAGTGGGTCTTTGTATTCCGAAGTACGGAAATTATTGTAAATAGAGAAAAATAAAGGGTTTTGTATACCCTTCTTGTGTATCCTGTCTACTTCCCACAGTTATTGAACATAGCTTTAGTAAGCTCTCTGTTCCGAGTCAGGTCCTTGCATGTTCCCGAAGAAAGTAAGACGGAACATTGAACCTGATAAACAGAGCATATTGTTGCGAAAGACCCTGCTGCGGTAAGATAGCTTTCCCGCAAAGCGGGATTAGAGTTGCCAAAAAGTGGCAGGGAAAACCAGGATTGCCAGATTTGCGGTTAATTCGTCTATTTGGCGATATGTCTGAGACGGAGCAAGCACATTTTAGAACGTATTCTTAGGAGGTTTTATAGGAGATGAAAGCTATATATACCCTGCCTGTACGCATAGTATCTTGGATTCAGTAGTGTAGTGACCTTGAGCTCAGAGATTAGCTTAAGAGCGATCCACCGAGTTGGGAGAGCTGTACTTTAGTGTTCGTGAAGCTGGGTTCACCGTTATAGCCTGTTAGCCTGAACGCTATCAGGTTATAACGGTGAAAACTGATAGCCTGAAGGCTTGCTGATTGTTTCAGCTTGTTTGTCGTAGTTTTTCGACGACTAAAATGTTTCTTTGGAACTGTCCTGTGTAATAGTGCCTATTGGGGAATCAATTATGTTTTTATTATTCATTAAATGTTACCATCAGTTGGTCCAAATCCACGAATCGAAGAATACAACAATATTAAGATTGTTACTGTACACATAAGCCTTCAAATTTAGTCATTAGTTCTTCGTATTCAAAATACAATAAATTCTTTCATGACGATATCCTCTCAAAGATGTCCTCTTCTGTAAATGGCGAATATTTTCCAATAACACAAATGATTATAGAGAGGATTATGATTCCGTCAGACATAGAGAGGATTATAACTTTTCTTCATACGCACTCCTTTCCGTAAAAATCACGGCACGCCATTGGTCTTATTTTACTGTATTTTAACAAAGAAAATATTGAATTTTACAGGAGAGATTTGCCATGGACACAGCCACAACAAAGAGAGACTTACTGTGCTTCTAACGCTATACTGAAGGGTCGAATTGGGGGCAAACCCCTGTACTTAAACAGTTTCGGTTCCTGCGGTACATAATCAATCTTCATAGTGATTAGAACCATCGATTATTCGGTGGAAGGTTCAGGCTTGGCAGGGAAAGTACTGGTACTGTCTTATCTACCCCTTGGTGTAGAGATGCTACATGGTTAAATATTTAAGGTGGTCCTAAGAGGTTTAACTCCTAGGGTTAGCGTATGGGGTTTAGTCTAAGGTGTTATCTTGGTTAGCACTGCGAGATAGTCTTTGAATTAGTTCATTGCTCTCTTTGTGTGGCGACCAATTGGTGCCCAGTCGCCCCTTGTCCTGCGTTTCATATCTTTGATTGTCTGCATAATTGTCCAGGGGCTCACCAGGTGTTTGTGCCCACTTGGATCGCCTTTAGGGATTGGGGTGTCAATAAACATGTTAAGAACTTTAAATGGCCCAGATCAGGGAGTCCAATCTTCCTAGTGTACTGTGCTTCTAACGCCGATGGTAGTAAAAAACTTTTATTCGTAGTTGTTGATAAATTATTGAAATCACGCTATTTGGAAAATGTGAAGAAATTGTCATGTTTATATAGGATAGATGACATCTAGAAATGTAACGAATTTTAAATTTAATTTCATAAAACGGTTGAAAAATCCTTTTGTTTATGGGTTATTGCTCTACACATCCACGTCATCTCTCATCATTAATATACTGTTACGAATTCTGTATTTAGATAGTTAATTTTAGTAGAATTAGAACTAAAATTGTTGTATTTCTCCGTGCAATGCAGCGCGATACAAATTTTTACTAGAAAGGCTTTGCTGGAAAAGTAAGAATACAGGGGCACGTGCATTTAACAGAGTAAATGGATATCTCGGTAATTTTATTTAATAAATGTGATTGACCACTATGTTAGCTGTAACCGTAATTCCATCCTGTTATTTCTTTCCAGTAATTTGGAGAAACAGAAAGTACTAGAAATATCTCGCCATCCATTGAAAACGATAAAAAACCGAAGAGAGAGTGTGTTGCTTAGTTATTGTTATTGTAAGTTGTTTACTTTCGCGGGAACTGTGATATCTAAATTATCTTTCTCTTAAGATACGCTTTGCATTGCGTTGAATTTTAACGTTTTTAGTAGTTTGAAGTATAATTATTGATTATATTGCGTGATATTGTGAACACTTGTACGAATATCTCTGAAAAAAAATCCAGCTTTTTGATATATTTCTTTTGAAAAGAAAACATTTTATTAACATATTATCGGACTTGTGCATTCAACTTATTACGAACCCGTCTGCACGCAGAAATGCATAAAGTCAGTTAGAAACAAAAAAAGGAGGGCAGTTCTTTATCTTCCATTGAACTCAGCCGATTGACGAAATAAAGCCCGTATTTTTCTTGTCTTAAAAGCGTAACGTAAATATATTGTTACGAAAAGTCCAAGTGCGGTAGGTTAGCTTCCCCGCAAGGCAGTTTTAGGGTTTCCAGAAAATAGCAAGGGAAAGCAGAGTTGCCACATTTGGCGAGAAATCGCCCATTTGGCGACATAATCTTCTGGAACGAATTCTTACCGGTTTAACACAGAATGTTCTCGAATACAAGCCAAAAGCTATATAAACCCTGCTGTTACGCGGAGAGTCAGTTAGTCAGTGCAGGGCCCTGCCGAAGCGGTCGTCAAGTGCACCGATAGAGTGTCGTAATGTATCTCCGTTAGTGCATCGTCGATAGAGTGTGTTGAGCTCCAGGAACTACTGAACCGAAGAGTCGAGAGCTGTGCTCTAGCGTATCGTCGAATGCATCGCGAGTTGTAGCGTGGGCAGTATCGAGAGTACGGGGAGTTCCCAGAACGACCAACCAGAGTCGGGAGCTGTACTGTCGTGCTTTGCCGTGAAGCGGTCTCTACCGTTATAGCCTCATAGTATGAAGGCTGTGTCGCTGATTGTGTCAGCGTGTTAATTGTATTTTTTCGACGACTGTGTAAATGTGGTGTTGGAGCTGTCCTGAATAATATTGGCCAATAAAGTGTGTTTTGATACTTCACGAAGTGCTGTCGTCATTATTCACTCCAAATCCGCACGAACCCCGTACGTACGAACGTAAAAGAAGAAGAAAAATAACGTAACAATATATATATATATATATATATGATTTACATTTAGTGTTGTTCTAACATATGCATTTTGACACAAAATCGAATTGTTAGCCGTGTTAGTATATGCAGCGCTGTCGAGAGCAACTCGATACTCGCAAATTTGAGGGTTGGAATTCTTGAACCTAACCCACGGGAGCCATATTGCGCTAGTGCTAGAGAATTCGACTCGTATTAAGCAGGCCCAGCATCGAATCCCGGGGTCATTACCATCTTCAAAGGCATTCGAGACTCAAGCACTGCAGTACTTCTCACTGATGCTATTAGATAGCGATACGAGCAAACAATTACATCCCCGAAGCCACCAAGATCTCTCGCACCGCGGGATCGCTACACTGGCAACCCGAAGAACTCCACGTGAACCTAACGGCGACACAAATGCCAAGAGACCGGGCTCTTTCTACCATGTTCAACTATGCATCAACGAATCTAAAAAAAACACGCCCACATACTGGAGCCGCAGTCACCATCCTCAGCACAACGATCAATGACATCAACTTACTGGGCTCGCAACCAGGCTCACAAAGTGGCCATCTCCTCATATCATATATGAAATGCTTGGGAGGGGAGTGCGTAGCGATTTCGAGAGCAACTTAACGCTCGAAAATTTGAAAGGTTTAGAATTCTTGAACTTAGCTCACGAGAGCACTTTTGCGCTAGTGCTAGAGAATTCGACTCGCATCAAACAGACCAGGATCAATTCCCAAGGTTATTACCATTTTCAAAGGCATCAATGGCCATTGAAAGTTCTATGGACATTGAAAAGATATGCGATATTCGTGCACTGCAGCACTTCTCACTGGTGATAATAGATGACGACACGAGCAAGCAACTACGTTCCCGAAGCCTCTCGCATTATGTGATTGCTACATATCCACTTCATTACATCCGTGCATTATAATCAGAAACAGGAGTTTCCCAAGATTAGATGAATGTGATGAATTCAGTCAGACTGCCTGTGTTTTCTGGAAACCACTTGAGCTTTTTTATTAACCTAGATTTTCACTTACTGACATATTCTATTCTAAGCTGGTTTCGTAGAAAATTCTCAAGAAACGTCTCATCTGTTGTCTAAAACGTTCTGAATCTCTTGTCTCTCTCTCTTTTTTTTTTTTTTTTTGACATTAGTAGTAATAAACATGTAACTTTTTTTTTCTGTACTTTAAATTCTTTACAAAATCTACTTTCGTATTTATACTACCATATTTTCCAGTAACAGAAATTTGTGTTTGAAATGTAAGCATTTGATCACTTGCAAATGAGACTGAAATTTCAAGCAAGTGTTTGCAAATATTTCTCGTAGCACAATATGAATTTCTCTTGAAAAAGAAAGTAAAGTAAGAAGTCCCTTATATTTGATATGATATATGGTTACAGGTCCAAAGATTAGACAAATTTTTATTTTTGTCAATACTTCGGGGCGTAGAATAAAAGTTAATAAAATGAATAGCCCTTTTGATAGATATGATAAAAGATACAATCCCGTTCAAAATAGTATGTATGGTAAAGCATAATTCGTAAAAAAGGGGCTGAAAACAAAAACTAGAGGAGCTGATTCCTATTTTTGTAAGCAAATCTGGCAACACTTTAATATTTATTTATTTTATGTGAAGCGGCCTAGTGTTCTTATTAGCTGTCAAAAGCAAGTTCTTTTCCCTAGAGTTTATTCGCGCTTTGATTTTAAACATCTTAATGATTTTTATTTTTCCACTCTGTACTTTTTGCTACGAAACTTATTTTTAAATTGGAGAAGAGTTTTTTATTGTTTTTGTTATAAAAAACAAATGTAACTTTCACGCAACTTCATATTAAAGCGAAGTTTAAAATTAATATTATTATTCACAAAGATTGCTTGTTCATATATTCTTTAAATATTTCGGGTTTGCTAAGTATATATTTTTTCGAACAATTTTTAAATATTGAGTTTCAGAATCAGTGGGCAGTAGAATTTCAATGGTACAGCCGATTTTGAAAAAAACAGAAAACACACAGAGTGTCATCACTTTTCAGTCACACTGACCAAGTTCTAATTGTAAACGTACTGATAAATCATACTTGGCTAACTCTTCATATAATTCTAAGTCGGATTTTTAATTTCGTATTAAAATAATTGTCGTTGTCTTCTTTATTTATTCAACAATTGTATGAATTTCAGGACTATAATTTTCACAAATAAATACTTATATATTCACAATAATATGAATGATAAAATTCTTAGATAATCACTATAATTTATTAAATATAATGTCAGTGAATCTCGGACTCAATCCTGGGTACTTCTCATTAAAATTCTCATTAGCACTGTAATTTTTTTTTTTTTTTTTTAAAGAATTAATGAAACATTTTTTTTTTTTCCAGTTATCGACAAAGGACTACTAAAAACTTTAAGACTGAAAGATTTAGTAGTTTAAATTTTTCATTGCTAATTTAATTTTATTCCTATTTTTTCTAGTATTAAAATTTCAAGTTGCTTCCTAGCTGTTTTCAAATTCAGTGCTTTTAAATTTTAATTGCATATTCATATCTATCTGTATATATGGTAATATTTTGTAAAATGACTTTGACAAATGAAATTATTTTATCCGATTTTACTTAACAAATGTTTTGTATTTTCTTTGTATAACTTGCAGTTCTGAATTGACATCATGTCTGAAAGAGAATTTAAGAACCCTTTTCCACCCTATGAAGAAAGCCTAAGTATTTTTGATTTTAATACCAACAGAGTGAGTTGTTTTTTATACAATATAGTGTTATATATTTTGCTAAATTGGCAAGCATTTTTCATTTTATTAATGAAATGTTAAACTTTCAGATGATTCAAGAAATTGAAAACCCACTGTTTGAAAATGTGTTTATTTTGCTCCAGACTTTAGAGAAACATTTAAGTTCTGAAACTGATTGGACTGATACAAGTGTTTACACAGGAACATCTGGTATATTATAATTTCATTAGTAATGAAATATATTGTGGTACTTGTGAATAATCCAGAAGTGGGAGTTAGGACATATGCTAAAAATTGCAATGGTTTGCTAATGAAAGTCTGCCTTGCTATTACAGCCATATCCTAAATTTTTGCTATATGACAGAGGCAAGATAGCAAGTTGTTCTCTTCCTGATCTGGATAGTATTATGAGTAAGGTATGGAACTACAGACTAGAGATTATGTTCAGAAATCTTGTGCAATGAATGAATGTTATTTTGATCAGTGAATAATTTCTTCCTCTTTCTTCTGAAATTATATGTGATTAATTACTTATCAGTATCCACTAGTGATTTACAAAAAAAAAAAAAAAAAAATTAAAAAATCTATCTTATTACTGCAATAGTTAACTTTACAGCAATCAAAGTTACTGATATTTAGATCAGCAGCAGAGTTGCCTGTGCTTTTACCATAGCTCCTGATTCTGAATAATCCATAAGTACCATTTGTATTGATATGTGGATTCTCCAGAAGGTCTTCAAATTTAAAATATAAAGATATATTTATTTGGTATTTTTCAGTTAACAGGTGCCATTTGGCTCTAAATCAGAGATGGGCAAACTTTTTCGATCACTGCCCGCCCCCCCCAAAAAAAAGTTTGATGGGCAAGATAAATTCTTATGAAATTTTAAAAACAATATACAAGTATTGCAATTTAAGGAACTACTCTTATATACGCCCTCCCTTTGTGACAAATTTCACACCAAATATTTTTGACGAGAAATCTACAGTGCCATATTGCTATCTAAACTTTTTGTTTACATTTCGAACTTTAAGCCTAAAATGTCTCCAAAAACGCAATTTTCGCACATGCAAAAACCACGTTTTGATTAAGCTAAAGCTCCAAAATAAAAACAAAAAATTTAGTTTAAATATAAAAAATATAAAGTTTCTAACCAAAAATATTTGACAAGAATCCATGTACACAGCGATATGTTTTAACTTAAAAAAACATCACGGATTTGGACAATCTATTCAGCAAAGGAATCTAGGAACTACACACACCTAGCATAAATAAATTAACGTAACAAGGATAAATTTCAGGAATACCATGTACACGGCATTCTGTTTAAATTTTAAAAAATATCTACAAATTGCATAATCTAGGCATTGTGCACTAATCAACAAAACAAACTAAAATAAATTTCAAACAATTAAAAAAAATAACAATAATAAACAGAAATTTATACTAAAAAACAATGAACATAACATTCTACAAAATAACAATAAAATAAAATGCACTTACCATGAATGAATGCTTCTTCGAACAGCAAAAATATCACCAAAACAATTTCACCACAAATTTGTTAAAAGCATTTTCTCACATTTCAGAACAATGATGGAAAAATATATAAACCACCAAATAAAACACAAAATCGCATTTTCGATTATAAATAGGCAACATAGCTTTAACATGCCGCCACGTAATCTCTGTCATACTTTGACAGCAAGACTCACTATCCACAAAATTTATAATTTATACTATCTTTCACAAATAAATGTTCAAAACCTTCTTCTCCTAAATACTTGTAGAATTTCCAGCCACCTGAAAAAATGTGCCATGCACACGACTAAAATTTTGCCTTTCATTGCATCATAAATCACGAACCAATTCCACGTAAAAAGGGTTGCCATAGAAACCAACATCATCCCCAAAACAATCGCAGCACATATAAGATTAGTACCCTATTTAAATATGTTAATGAGATGAATGAAATCGTGATTTCATTTTTAGAAGTTCCTTATATTGAGGTTCGAAGTGAGATGTACTGACTCCAAGGAATGAGGCTAAATGCTCATCCGTCAGTTTACTTCTGAAATAATTCTTTCTAAGGTAAATATTTGAAAACACTTGTTCACGTAGATAAGATGAAGCAAACGTAGCACTGATTTTTCTGGTTGTGAGACATTAAATTTGGGAGACTTTGGATAATGATTTGTAAAACTCTAACTTTGGTATATTTAGAAACAACTGCTTGAGATGATTGTTGGATTGCCTCTCAATTAATTGTTAGATTGCCTCTCAAATGCTTCACAATTAACGTTGAAAGGCAGGGTAAAAATATCCAGTTCTGTTTGAATGGCACTGAAATTTTGAAATCTGTGTTCGAACTTAAAATGCAGTTTTTTTCAAGCCATCTTCATAATTCTTAAGCTTCTTTTCATTTACTGAGGGTATTGAATTTAACCTTGGGAATGAGATGTCGTTCTTAGCTAGCTGCTCAGCAAACAGATTAAGTTTTAGTTTAAAAGCTTTGAGATGGGCCCAGATACCATCAATAAATTGATTTTTCCCTTGCATCTTGACATTCAAGTTTCTCATGTGACAAAGAAGATCTGTGAAAAATGTCCGAAAGCCATTTTGTATCTTCTAACGTTTCGCATTCCGCAGAACACTGTTTGTCATGTAAGAAGGACACAGTGTTGTCTTTCAGCTGCCAAACTTGCTCGAAAACACATTCTGCACTAAGCCAGCTTACTTTCTTATAACATCAAAGTATTCAGATTGCATAGACTGAAGAAAATCTCAAAATTGCTTGTGAGTAATCCCATGATATGGAATGGTATTTACAAGCTTCACGACTGGCATGAGTTTCATATTTAATGCAGATTTAAACAGAGCATCTTGATGTATAACACAATGTTGAAACACAACATTGTACCCGGGATAGTTTTGTTTAAAGAGTCCAAGAAACAGATTTTTTTTTCTGACATATTTGGTGCTCTATCAGTCATAATATTAGATATATTTGTTATAGGCACTTTCAAAGTTAAAAGCCCTTCCTGAAATTCACAAAAAATATCACATGTAGTTCCCTTTAAAGAACGCATGCACGCCAGTTCTTCGGTAATTTCAAAGTTCTCATCAGTACCTCATATAAGTAATACTAATTCAGCAGTATCATTTATATCAATGCTTTTATCCATAGCTATAGAGCAAGATTAAAACTGGTCAATATTTGACTCTGATTATGATGTCAAATTTTTATCGATGTTTTCAATTCTAGAAGTCATCATTTTTTCTGATAAGCTAACAGTCTCAAAATAATTATTTTTCTTGTCTGGACATAAAACATCACAAACTTGGAGCATGCATTGTTTAATGAACTCCCCATGACTGACAACTCTATTATTTTTAGCAACATTGTAGCATACAATGTAACTTGCATATGTAGCTGCTTCTTGGATACTGTGTACCTTCTTGAAAAAAATTTGTCAACCTGATAATTTTTTACAAAGACTTTCTGCATTTTGTTTTCTTTCATATTCGAACATTGTTTCGCAATTGAATCCTTATGCTTGTGAAATGACGGGAAATGTAATATTCTTTGAAGACTGCTACAGCTTCATTACAGATGAGACACTCTGGTTTATCTTTTACAACTGTGAAAAAATAATTTGAGATCCAATCATGATTAAAAACATGGCACTCTGAATTAACTTTACGTTTTTTAGTAGCCATTTTGGGGTTGAAATATTTTACGAATAACCCAAACAAGCACTAGATATACGTTTTAATAATTTCACCACTATTCACAAAGATGCTATGTCCGCAATCTTTCCATACACAATCGATAATATTAGAACTCGCACCCAAAGAAAAAGCCACTGGTTGGAGCTTAAAATGTGCAGTCTGCCACATGAGAGATCTAATTTGCCTATATTGGATGCCCATATATCTGCTCCCCGAGAAAGAGATGACGCTTATTGGCACCAATCTACGGCTATAACAAACAAAAAACTTTTGCTTTTCACATTTTACCGATTAAAAGCTGCCTGTGTTTGCTATTTCCATCGATTTATGTTTTGTAGAAGAAAAATAGAGCAAGTAAAAAGATCATCAGTCCTTTGAAAAAAAGGAAGGAAAAAAATAATATTTAAACAAAGAAGAAAAGGAGATGAATATATAATGTATAAATATATATTTCTTTTAATTTTCCTCGGACTGGCAAATAAAAATTCTATTTGCAGGCCGGTTAGAAGCTTTCCGCAGGCCGTAATTTGCCCATCCCTGCTCTAAGTATAAATGTTGGCATGAAATCTAACTAAAGATGAGAATAGTAATCCTAACAATATATGCAAATTCGTGAAAATAATGACTGATTTATTAGATCCAAAATTTAATACTAATCATCACTAATAAAAAATACAAAGTGGATTTTATCATACTGTTAATTTCAGACTGCATGGGAAGCATAAATTTGCGAGATTTCTTTAATATTGCTGAAAATGTTTACATTTTTTCATGCCAATGCTGAATGAAAATTCATTTCAGACATAAGAGCTAATATGTTTCATAGGTTTTTAAATATGTTTTAAATATGTAAAGTAAAACATGTTGTCCATTTAGGAAATCCTGTCAATCTTGAAAGCTGATGCTAATGTCACCAAATTTATGCTAGCCATTCTGGCAGAAGTTTAAAAGAACATATTCTTTATAGATTATCAACAGGTACAAGTTACAGATATAACAAATGAAGAACTTAAATTGCTTATCATAGTTTTTCCCATTGCATTACCATTATTTTTCCTTTAAAAAAATAACACATGTTGTGTCCATTAATGCATTCTTTTGTTGAAACCAGAATCCTGCAGCTTTGAAAATACTTTACTGCACAGTGTTCTGTAGAAGGCAGATTTCAGATTTTAGTAGTGCTTTCCAAAATATGATGAAAAAACAGATAAGTAGCACTTAACTTATATCGTTCTTTCATATCCTAAACAGGCACTGGTACAAGTGGACGAGACACGAGAGTTTTGTCTGCAGGTTCAGCATCAGTTATACTGCACTAACTGTGCAGCTCCACCACAATTTTGATGGAGAATATTTCGTGGTCAGTCGGTCTCCTTCTTCCCATATCACCAATCACTTGAAAATACTTTTGGCTCTTCAGTATTTGGAGTGTCCCCATGCTGCACAGACACTGCATATTTACAAACATTCACAGGATTTGAACTTGAGTCCATTGGTACGGCAGCCGCATTGCTAACCGCTATACTGATCAGGGCAGCACAAAAACTAAGCAGGCCTATTGAGAATTAATTGAATTTGCATAAAACCAGGACAAAGATCTTATGATTGTGTTGTGACATCATGCTTATCCATTATTGCCATTAAATCATACTTTTGGCATTAATGTCCTATTTGTACTTTATAATGGCTTTAGAAGTCTTTCATTTGTTTGATTTTTCTAGACCTAATTTTTCTTTGTTCAGATTCTCAAGCTTTTAATGTATTGACATTGTTCAACTTAGTAAGTTAATTTAAAAATATGTGCATTCTACTTAGTTGATATATCACGGAAATCTATCAAGCTATCAATTACTAGCATTCATGACATGATTGTTATGAGATTCTTCTGACAGGGCTGTCTGCAGGACTCAAAAAAAAATTATTTCATATTTTTATTGGCATTCTGAAATTAAAAATTGTGAATAGGGGGAAAAAAAAACTAGATTCTGTAAACTGAAATAAGAAAAATGAAATCAGAATTTTCAAATAAATTAAATATTTATAAAATTTCTTTATTCATCAATAGCGTTTCTGCCTCAGGTTTTTAAAATATTTAGTGCTTACATATTACTGCAATCACCTTATTAGAAGTTATGAAATATTCAGAATGTACTAAACTGTGACAGCCATGCACATCACAATTCTTCAGGCTACCAATGCTTATAATGGTTCTTCTGCTTTAACAAACAATTTTGGCATTTACATATATGTATTCTTTTTGTCATCTTGAATGATTTTTAATAGAATAGTAATATATTATCTTAATTTCAATTATAAGCTCTATACTTATAGGATTTACCTAGCGTGGAAGAAATTTATGTATAATTTCAGTAAGAATGCACTACTTTTTCTACCCCCCCAAAAAACTGCTAAATGGAACAGTTGTTTTAAATCTAGTCTTAAAGTGAACATCACAAAATTTAAGATAGTCTACATTTTAGGGATACTCTATGACATGATATGTTGTAATGCATGATTGCCTTGATTTTGACTGTTGAGAAAATATTTCTCAGGGCTTATTTATCATTGTATGTTGCTTATTTTGTGCTTTACACCATAAAATGCCTGCTGATGGAACAATTAACCTGAAGTTTCTGTATGCTTTGAAACAAACGGCGAAGAAAACATTGATTGACTGGTGTGTAAATGAAGATTTAAATGGCTTCGTTCACCTCTCAGTAAATTACACCGTGAGATTTAAGGATTTGGAAATCAAAACTCATATCAACACTATCAGGTATGTGGGTTGAAATAAAAAGGGATTTTTGAAAGAAATGCCACCAACAGTCCAGAAGTATGGAGGATGTTTTTGATTTTTACTTTTGTGAATTTATGTGGTGACGGCAGTATATAGACTCTAGTTAAGATAATTTTAAATAGTTTTTGGGTGCTGTAATGAAATCTGCGTGCAACACGCCGAAGACACAGAAATTTCTAACTAAGGTAAATCATTTTATTAAGGTTATAATTTTTTTATGTTTTAATTATGTTTTATTGCATTATGGGTACTTACATACTATGACAACTACCTTGGCAACATTTGCCAATAAAAAACCTCATTGCCTTTTTTTTATTTATGTTTCTAAATTCTTTTAAAAATAAAAGCCCTAATTATAAAGGAACAAAAATTTAAAAAACGAAAATCCCGAGTATATTATAACTAAATGTATATATATATAAACTATATAATAAATACGAATTAAAAAATTAAAATTGACTTACTTAAAACTGGTTAAAAGAAAATGTTGAAGTTAATGGTGAGGAAAGTGGCGGGAAATAGCTTTTTAAATACCATTGAAAGGTGTTTCCTGTTTTTTCCACCAAATAAATACAGCTAAATAAGTATCCAAACAATGGTGGCTTGTCCCATGTTGTCGCTTGTTCCTCCAAAATGGATTGCAGAAGAATTAATATTGAATATACTGAGGAAATCAACGCTAAAATTTTATATTATCTGTTTTCTCTCAAAATTTGGCCATATTTTAAAAATATACAATCTCACTTGGCTGTAAGTTCTATATAAGCATAACAAATCTTGTGTAAATATTGTGAACCTTTCTTTATAGTTGCTCTGTATATTTAAAATGCCAGCTATTTTTAAGTTTTTTATTTGTTTTGCACTAAAAGTACATTTTAGTTTTAATTATAGCCGCCCAAACGGTATAGTGGTTAGCGTCGCTGACTGCCATGCCGAAGGGCCCGGGTTCGAATCCCTCTATAACTTACAAGGGTCGGCAGTTGTGGTGAGATATCTAGGTAGTCGTCACAATACATAAGCACCGCATTATTATGTTTTGGACGCTATTTTATTTGGGAGGGCATTGCATGTAAACAAGAATGGCGCCCAAAAAAAAAAAAACCAGTTTTCGCCAAAGGGTACCCTGAAATATATTTTCCTCTAAATTTTTACCAGAGCCTAACAAAGAAGAAAAAAGAAAATTCTGTTAATAAGTTTATTGATTAATTATTAGGATTAATTATAATATGTATAATAATAATAATATGTATATATGAATTAACTAGTTTTTTGTAATTATAAGTCATTATTTGGCAGTTTAACATGTTGACTGCCCAACACGACTATTTATACATTTTGTCTTTAAACTGAGTGAAAAGCAGAATGCCTTAAAATGCTTAAAAGCAATAACTACTTTTAAAAATGAACTATTTTGTTTCAATTTTAGAAATAAATGTATTGATGCAGTCTTAATTTTAACATACTTTCTAAGCTCAATTTAAAATGAAAAAAACTTTTAACAATGACCTTTTTTCATTTTTTTTAAAACTTACAAAGTAACATCTTTTGAAAAGTTAGATCTTTATTAAATTTCCCACCAAAAAGCCACTTATTATTTTAACTTTTTTAAATTACCACTTAAACGTAAAAGTAACAAAATATTTTAGTCAACTCGCAAAGATTTCTAACATTTCAAGTATGTTTTGTAATAAGAAGTTCTGCTATAGTATAGTGCAAAATTTTGTTTAAAATGGTTATACACTGCTCGACATTGAAAATGCAACACCAAGAAGAAGTAGTCAGAAAGTGATAAATTTGGAAAAAAGACAGAGATAGCAAGCAGCAATAAGCAATCTTTATTTCAAAATGATAGTCAGAATGCAGAGCGAGAATTTCATCGGCTCGGTAGGATGTATGACCATCACGGACAGTGATGAACGAAGAAACACATCTAGGCATAGAGTCAATAAGAGTGCAGATGGTGTCCTGAGGGATGGCTTTCCATTTCCTTTCAACTGTTTGCCACAGTTTGTCTTCTGAACGAGACAGGGGCAGAGTGTGCAAGCGGCATCGAATCACATTCTACACATGTTCGTTGGTGACAGGTCAGGAGAGTACGGTATCCAGGGAAGCATCTGTATACCTTGCAGAGCATGTTGGCAGATGCGAGCACTGTGTGGTCGGGCATTATCCTGCTGAAAAATTGCATTAGGCAGCCCCTGAAGGTAGGGGATTGCCACCGGCCGCAGTACATTATCCAAGTATCGTTGGGCCGTCATAGTGCCCTGAATACGAACTAGAGGTGACCTGGAATCGTAGGCAATAGCGCCCCAAACTAGTATGCCACGTTGTCACACATTGGAGCATTCCACAGTTACTGTCGGATTAGACTTGTCTTCACGTTGATGCTACACATGTATGCGGCTACTGTCACTGGATAAACAGAAGCGGGACTCATTGGAGAATACGACATTTCACCATTCTGTCATCCACATCGCTCCAGTCCGGGACCATCCGTCCATTGGCATCTATGCTGTGGGGTCAATGGCAGTCTTCTTAACGGATGCGGTGAGTGCAGGCCACGTTCAACCAATTGACGGGAAAAGGTTCTGCTCGACACGGGAACATCCAGGTATCTTGCATATGCTGCAGAATCACGGTACAAGGGACTTGTGGGACTGCCACAGCTTGTCGGCCGATGCGTCGATCCACGCGTGCTGACGTTACTCTGGCTGCACCTGCAACCCTCCTTCTTCCCACATTTCCTTGTTCCAACCATGTTCGCCATAGCCAATGCACCGTTCTTGCATCCATGTGGGTATCAGCTGCGATTTGACGTAAGGACCAACCCGCTCTTCTCAGTCCGATCACCATACCCCTCATAAAATCATCTATCTGCTGGAAGTGCCTGCGTTGACAGCAACCTGGCATTCTTTCCTATTACACATATCCTCTGGGACAAAAACCAACTTTCTTCGATAATTCGTCCAGCAGAAATAACGACACGAATATTGCCCATTCTACATGTTCCTTCCCTTATATCTTACTTCACGTGTGTCGGAGAGCTGCGCATTTCACATCATTCGCATAACTCAGTGATGTATGTCTACTCTAAAATTTGCATAAATTTCTGACCACTCCTTCTTGGTGTTTCATTTTCAATGTTGAGCAGTGTAAATGATTTTTCACTGTTCTGTAAAATGTTTTTATTTCTAGAGTAAATAGATGTATTATTTTTTTTTCGCAGGCATTGCTCTGTTATACATGAGATTCATGGATATTAAATTATGTGAAGGAAAAAAGAATTTTCTGAAAGATGCTTTATCATACATAGAGCCTATTATACCCTATTTGAAAAAGAAGCGATTTTCTTTCTTGTGTGGTGCAGCTGGTCCCTTAGCGATTGCTTCAGTATTATATCATCGATCTGGTATGGAGAAAGAAAGCCGTGATTTAGCTAGAAGGTATTTTCAAAATAAATTCAAAATTTTTCCAAAATATTTTTACTATTGATGATCATATATTATTTTTGATATATGAATTCATAAATGATTTTGACAAAAATTAGTATGTCTGTATGTAAGCACGAATGTATGTGTGTGCATACATATACACATATATGTACATACATACATACATACATACACGTGTGCATACACTCATACATTTCTGAATCTGAAATAACAGTACTGTAAGTTAAATTACCTTAAAGAGGTCTGTCCCATGTAGAAATTACCTAATAAAATCAAAAGCATTAGGTATTAAGTAATTTTCTGTGTTAATTGTTTTTCCTACTTTGTGCTTTATGAATGCAGATTTTATAGATGCAACTTTTTGTTTTGTTTTAATTATATATTAGTCGTATTTTTATCTTCTTTTAATATGTAAAATAATTGTTACTGAAATTGAGGGGATTTTAACTTCCAGTCATTCATATTTTTGGAGCCTGCGAATGTAATTCTTCTTTTAATTATGTGTGTTTTTATAAAAATTTAATAGTATTAAATAAGATAAAAAAGAAATTGTCATTCCTTTTGTTTTTTATTTTTTCTGCTGAAAAGTATGCATTTATATGGATAATTTGGACAGTAAAGAATGTGTTATTAAGTGTATTAATTAACACCAGAGTTTTATAGTGTATTTATTTTCTTGCTTTTCAGGCTTGAAAATCTTGACAAAGATGTTTGTTCAGTAATGAGTGATTGTCCAGATGAGTTATTGTTTGGTCGTGTAGGGTTTCTTTTTGCACTTCTTTTTCTTGAAAAGCATGTTCCTGATGAGGATAATTACCGGGAAGAAATCATTAAAGAGGCATAATATTTAACTACCCATTTTTACATTAAAAATTTATTATTTTGTGAAAATACTTGTTATTGACTTTCATAATGATTTTCTCAGGTCATAGGTTCAATTTTAAAATCTGGCCAAAGACTGGCTAAAAAATTCAAGAACACGTCCAAAATTCCATTGTATTTTGAATGGCATAATAAAGCCTATGTTGGATGTGCTCATGGTTTTGCTGGAATTCTTTACATGCTGCTTCAAGTATGTCTTTTTCTTTTCAATATTTAAATTGATAAGCTTTTATATACTATAGTTACTCTCATATTTCTCCCCTTTGTGCAGTTCCCCCCTAGGTTTTTCAGCACATGATTTATAAACTTCTGATTTATGGTAACAGTTTAAAATGTGTGTGCAAATACGCAATATTGAGATACTTATGTATTAATGCAACCACCTTAGTAGAAATTGCCAAATTTTCAGACTGTGCCCAACATATGCATAACCATTCTTGTGGCAACTATGTTGTGACAGTCTTTTAGCAAGCAACAGCATCATTTTTGTGTGCATTCTTTTTGTTCTATTCCCAGTTCCGATGTTTTTTAAACAAATCATATATTTTTTGCTTTAAACTAAAAAAAATATATATGCTAAAGTATGTTTTCATATGTTAGTAGTGTTTACCGGCATTCTATAAAAAAAAAAAAAATGTGAAGGCCACAGTAACAAGTAACCATAATATAAAATAACAAGTCAAAGAATTGCACAAACTCAGTATCCATGTACCACAAAGTTTCGCCAAGGGGTACCCGTAAATATACTTTTACCACTCTAGCTGCAATTTGCAATAATCTCTTATCATTCCATTTTAATTTAACTAATTCTCCTTTCAGTCCTAAAAATAGCAGCAGTTTATAATAACCATTCTAAACTGCATCATTACCAAATTAATCCATGTCATATGTTTCTTATATAAAGCTCATGATGCAGATATATAAGGCTTCAACCGAAAATAATTTTAGAAGCTCAAAAGTTAACCTGTTAAAATAAAGCAAACCAAAACTAATGCATTTGAGAGTCATAACTCAAATCACTTTCAACTCATCTTTCATCTTCCACATGTTGCATTCCTGCTACTGCTTGGTGTTCTAACATATTGCAGCTTATTTCCCCTTTTGATTTGTATTTTTGGGAGATGTAGAACTGATACAAATGTAATGAAAGCATGATCATTAATGGAATTGCATTCATTATGATGTCTGTAAAATTATACTACTCAAAAGTGAAGGAAAATGTGTTAAATTGACTGCTACTTTTTTTATCCAGCAAATGTCTATCTACATAAGTCATTGTCTGCATCCCTATGCCATCATTTTCTATATCATCATCATATATATATGTAAGATAAAAATATATGAATCAAAATTATAGATTAAACTATAAACATTAATTCTTCCTCTCTATTCTAAAATCGTAATAACTTCTTTGCATTGCGTTATTTCTAGATCACTCTATGATCGGCGCAGCTCTGATGACGTAATCATTGGGAACTGAAACTGTCCTTGTAAACCAAAACTTTTCTCTTCGCGTGCTTCCATTTTTCATAACTACGCACTTCAGCTTTTGCTCTCTACTGTGCTAAGATGTAATTTCGCTGGCTTGCTTTCTATCTCAACAACATCAAAAATGTAAATCTTCTGTGGAAAGGCACAACTAGAGTGCCAAGTGATTGTGGTCACAAATATCAATTGGAAATAAAAATGGAATTAAAATTGCTTCGACTGCCAAGTTCTTTAAATACTACGCAATCAAAATTCTTCTTCAGTATGGGTCTAATCACGCATCTACAGTGTTCCGTCATTTCCTTTTGCTTTTATTATGACAATTAAGCCAGTAGGATAGTTTCCTGCAGCCTGAAACCTCAATGGAAAATTTAGTTCAGCTCTTCAAATCATCGTTTTGTGTAAATCCAAGATAATGTGAAAGAAGTGAATCATCAAATTTGTTTTTTCAGTTGTGAAAGAAATGAATCATCAAATTTGTTTTTTCAGTGTTTAAAAAATAACAGATCATTCTTCTGCTGTGGTGTTTTGCGAGTGCTTCAAAAAAATAATCATGCATAGTGTTTCCAGATTGAAAGTAATCTCTCGATAAATTGAGAAGTTCGAATGCCTAGTGAAAAGGAATATTGAATTTGCTTTGACGATCTCTACAATATTTAGAAAAAAAGTGCTTTAAATCATCAGGGAATTACCGTTTAGGAATTAAGCATTACAGCGGGTTCAAGGTCAATCTGAGTTAGTGTTTGCAAGTATGTGCGACAGAAAATTATTTGCACTTCCGCTTTTTCAACAGCTCGAAAATTATTCTATTCGTGTGAATCTATCTCTCAGGAACTAAATTATTTAATGTGCTGTGGATTCTATAGTTTTCATTTCAACTGTGGTTAAAATTTCTGCAATTTGTTTGGGAAAATCTGAAATTCTTGTTCATTGATTTTTCTAATTTTTCATAATTATGTGTGAGCAAATTAAGTAACGAATTTTAAGCTATTTAAATTATTCATAGGGAAGGATATTAAGATAAGTTTTTATGTTTTTGAAATTTTGTTTGAGAATTTTGAATACGAATTTTATAATTATTCTAAAAATAAGATGTTAAAAATAAGTGAAATTAGTACAGATAAGTAATATGAAATTATGGTAAATGCATGTTAAAATTTATGGGTTATTGTGTGTTAAGTATAGTATGATGAGGGTGTACTGGTTCCTTCAACAGAGGCCTGTAATTACCTCTGTACAGTTGTTCCTTTTACCCTCTTCATGCAAGATAATGTTGGAGGCTCTCATTTTATGAATGCATGTAAATTTTTTATATTATTATTATTATATTTTTTTTTTTATTATGGAATGTATTAGTGCAGTTCTCAAAGACCAGTTACCTTAATGCAAGGAACAGAGGCCTTTTCAAGTAACTGCCTAGGCACCCTGGGCCACTAGTGCAGAGAACACACTGGTTAGCTCAAGAGGACAGCCCTATTGATGGATATGTTTGTTTAGAAGTATTGTGAGGCTTCCAGTTTGGTAAAATCAGGAATTGTAAATGAAAGATGATAACGGTGAAACCATAAATTTCGAAAATCTTAATCCTATTATTTATGATGTTAAATTATAATTTATCAGTGTGGAAATAAGTATCATAAATATTTATATGCATTACATTTAATTATAAGTAATGATTATGTAAAAGTTTATTTTGTGATATTCTGCGATAACAAGAACCTTCCCTGAAGAATTATGATTATGTGAATTCTCAAACAAAAAGACTTTTGGACTGAAATGTTGAAAAATTCAATAGGACTCTAAAAATTAAGAATTTATTTTTAAAAATTTATATTTATAAATAATACTTTACAGGATCAAAATTTTATTATTTATATATATATATATATATATATTTTTAATTTGCTAGTGCTTTAACTCTTTCTCTTTAAAAAGGCTTCTCTGTAGCTACGCCTTTTTCTTTTTGAAGAGGGGGAATATGTAAGATAAAAATATATGAATCAAAATTATAGATTAAACTATAAACATTAATTCTTCCTCTCTATTCTAAAATCGTAATAACTTCTTTGCATTGCGTCATTTCTAGATCACTCTATGATCGGCAAAGCTCTGATGACGTAATCATTGGGAACTGAAACTGTCCTTGTAAACCAAAACTTTTCTCTTCGCGTGCTTCCATTTTTCATAACTACGCACTTCAGCTTTTGCTCTCTACTGTGCTAAGATGTAATTTTGCTGGCTTGCTTTCTATCTCAACAACATCAAAAATGTAAATCTTCTGTGGAAAGGCACAACTAGAGTGCCAAGTGATTGTGGCCACAAATATCAATTGGAAATAAAAATGGAATTAAAACTGCTTCGACTGCCAAGTTCTTTAAATACTACGCAATCAAAATTCTTCTTCAGTATGGGTCTAATCACGCATCTACAGTGTTCCGTCATTTCTTTTTGCTTTTATTATGACATATATAAACAAATTAAATTATCTCCTAGGAATAGTAAGAAAAATCGTAATCTTTAATACTATTCAGGAAAAATTTTTAAATTATGTGCTAAAGATAATAGACATTAAATAAGGTACTTAGTAAAAACATTAAAAATCAAATAATTGTAAAAGACTAAATATTTTAAAGAAAAAAAATAATAATTATTGTATTGCAGCTTTAGCACAGGTATTAGGCTTTTTAGTACTTTAAAATTACATTTTAATTGTTATATATATGTGAGAAAATATGACTCTTACATAATTCTGGTGATGTAAATGAAACTAAAAATCAAGCAACCAACAGTAATTTTACAGCAATATTAACTATCCAATCAAAATGCAGTGAGAACCAAAACTTGGTCTGAATTAAGATTTCACCCTGAACATAACGCACTCTCTACGTTTTGACCTAGTTGGACTGCAGTCTGCTTCTTCTTTCTTACTGCAAATTTACCTAAAATGTAAGCTTTTTGGGTTAGGCACATTTAATGTGCTAACTTGTTTGTGGCCACAACATGTTTGGTGAAATAAAAAAATGAAGATTTAATATGCCTTCACCTCAAATTTTCTATTCATTATGGATTAACACTTCTACACCATCAAAATTCTGCTCGTTATTACTTCTAAGTTTGTTTTTATAACACACACACATATATGTAATGATATTTTTAAATCAATTGATTGAATTAAATTCTATTAATATTGCTTAATAATGTGTTGGCGATTCTCTACCTAAATTGCATCCCTGTTCCTAAATTTTGGCGAAATCCTTTTCTTTAGTTATAAAATTATATTAACCTGTTGGCGCCCGCCAAATTGCCAAACTCATAAATCTGTCATATTACATAAAGTACTTAAGAACACTCCTGATGAGAAGATAGCATCACCTCGTGATTTCAATTAATATCGCTGATTGGAGGAGCCTCGTGACGTACACATATGTATAAGTAGGGCTTCTTTCTGCTCAAGGTATGAGGAGAACACTTACGAGATGGATGCTAAAATAAACCTACCACTTTATATTCCAAAATTTGTCTCATTCCTGTTGCCCCGGCTGCACAAAACAAATAATGTATGAGAAATTACACTTCATATATATATGAGACGTATGTTAAATTCTAAAAAGTTCGCTGCAATATTTTATGAACTTGTGTCAACGTATTTTAAATACTGCAACTTTGCGTCAAATTTAAAATCCGTTGTCATAATTTTCTTCATTGTGTAAGTATGTTTTGCATTAAAAATGTTTTTTAATTTTTCTGTTAATGAAATATTCATTTTATATTGCATATAATGCCTCCTGGCCTTAAAGAAAATTATTTTTTATCTCTAGGCAAAGAAGTATCTGACTTCAGAAGAACTGAATGATTTGGTAAAGCCTACTGTAGAGTTCATCCTCAGTTTGCAGTTCCCATCTGGAAATTTCCCTTCTTCACTTGGAAATTCAGCTGATAAACTCGTTCATTGGTGCCATGGAGCTCCTGGTGTTGTGCATCTCCTTTTACTAGCATATGAAGTGAGTTATTTTTTAATTAAATTTCTCTCCCCCTTTTGCACATACAAACTATGTAATCACAATATCCAGACACCTCTGAAGGAGAGTTGTCATGCATCTGAATATATGTATGATCAAAATTACTATCATGTGGAATCCTCTTTGACTACAATGACAGAAGCCACTCTTTTAGGAAGGCTCTGCAATAAATTTTGGTATGTTGGTGGTGGAATACTTATCCAGTCTTGCAGAACAACATTTACCATTTCTATTAGTGATGGCAATCTAGGTTGCAAATGACATTCCAATTTATGTCAGAGATGTTCATGAAGTTATGAAAAGTCAATTTCTACTGCATCTCTCTCTCTCTCTCTATATATATATACGTGTATGTCTAAACCATATATTTTAACGTGTTACATAAGTTGGAGCTCATTCATGCTGAATCAAAATCAGTTAATGCTATTTCCCAAAGTTCTTGCAGTGAGAACATGGAATTGTTTAAAATATTTTCCAGGAGGCCAAAGCTAGATTAAGATGAATAAAATAATATATAACACTTTTCTCACCAAACCAGAAGAAAAAACACACTCTCATTAATAACGTTCACATGACATATTCATATCCGTGACTTATCAAGGTGCAATATCCACTAGCTGAATGATGAATGTACAGTTTGGTGGGAAGAATAAGATGGTGATGTTATCTTTTACTAAGTGAAGTATGAGCTGATTAGTTGTCTATAATCTGGACAGAATTCTACAGAAAATTCAGATTTTACAAAAAGTTCTGTTATATCATATAATGTTGACTTCCATTTGAGATGGATATACGTTACTCCATTTTTTAGAGCAATTCCACTTTTGCATTAAAACATGCTTTTGCTTTGCAGATCCTTCTGCAGCTTCAGAATTGCTAACTCTTTTCAACGTAATCGAGAACTTAAACTTGAATTTTAATTAGCTGTAATAATATTAGGCTGCAAAAAGTAATAAGCTGAATATAAAGTTAAACAAAAGCACAATTTCCTATGTTAACTGAACTTAAGTTCCTCAGAATCATCTTTTCCCTTCCCTCCTAATATGCGAACAAAAGAAAATCATGATGAGCTATATCCCACTCCAAATAATTATGTTTTGTAGCTTTGTGTATTGTTTAAATTGGATAAAAAAATGCTGACCTTCCACAACCACTCAAGGCCCACAATTGTGATCACGGCAAGCATCAATACAGTATCCACTGTGTTATGTCATTGACCAGGATTTATTTCCTACTCAGGTGTTTGAAAGTAGCATGCAGGAATCCCAGTTAGTTGGGAAAAAAATTGCATGTATGGCACACCTGCTTTTTGTTGAAATTTTTTTAACATTCATATCTGTAGAAAAATGATAAAAACTTCCCCTTAGTATATTTTTATTTTATTGCCCCTTAATATATTTGATGATCTTATTTTTTTTTCTATTTAACAATTTTTTTTAGAGGAGCTCAAATTTTTATTGTTAGAAATAATATTTTGTAAGGAAGTTTAAAGTTTCATAGTATACTTTTATCCTGTCTTGTAATCATGATAGAAAATCAGTTGATTTTAATGAATATAACATAATACAGAACTCACATAATTGGTAAAATCCTGCATAGATGAAACCACAGAACTCTGTTTCATACTTTCTGCTGGTTTCATATGATACACAATGCCTAGTCATAAAGTGAGGAAAATGCAATTTTTTAAGATTTTTTATTTACTAAAGAAAGTCTTGTATGAAGCCATTCCTTCTTGTATGTAGGTAATCCCTGAATGTTGTATCATTATTCATTAGCTAACCAAGAAAGTTTAAAACATTACGAAAAATTTGCTGTTGCCTCATTTATATCTTATTCAGCAACTATTAAGTTTTTAAGAATATTTTAGTAGTACCTTCTGTAAGGGAATCTTCGAATAAGGGACATTTACATTCTATTTAAGGGACTATTCTATTGGTACCACTCCTTTTAAATAGGGACTTTAATGTATTTACTTCTTATTAAGGGACACTGAAAAAAGTTATTTAGAATTTTAGAAATATAGTCATTTAGAATTTTTTCTATGTCAGAAAGCTGAGGAAATCCACAATGTCCTTGCTGGGATTTGAACTCAGACCTGACAAATATAAGCTGAGCATGCTTCCAGTTACACCGTGGAGGCATGTAGAAAGAAGACACAAAATACCTTATACAGTCCCTCCTTTTAAAAGGCGACCTAGTTACGAAATTCTAGTGGTGATGAATTATTGTCCGCCACTTTTTAGTTCCAGTGCCACATGTAGAATCATTTAGAACTCTTACAATGTGAGGAAGAAATCTTCAGTGCTTTCGCCAAGATTTGAACTCCAGACCTCACAAATACACATTGAGCATACTTCTAGTTCCAGCACAAAGGCATGCGGAAAGGAGGTGGAAAATACCTTCAAAATAAAGTTTCAAAAATAAAATAGAAGCAGAGAAATAAATAAAAATAGAAATACTCTTTGTTAGCAATCTTTTGAGGTTTGAAAGGCAAGTTTCTGTTCAGTGAAAAATAGTTCTATGACAAGGGAATAATAAAATGAAAAGTGAATTCTTTTATTTTGAAAACTGCTTTTCAGTAGTGAAAAGGGTAATAATACATAGCAAAAAACAAGTTGTAGTGCAATCAAAAGAATATTTCACATACATAAAATTCAAAATCCTGTTATTCTTGCTACACTTCTCAGCAGGGGAAAGAAAATAATGTTAACAAATTGTTAAGTTAATCGAAGATAGGTACCAATAGGAAAGAAAAGTTGGTGAGATGATTTAGCCACCTACCAAGGCAAAAGAATCTCACAAATGTGGAGAGAATGGAAACTTCAAGCAAACAAGTTATTGCTACGACTGCAAAAGAAGTGTAGTTTTGTACTTGTGAGTTATTTTTGCGTGTGTTATGTAGTATGGCTACAAAGAGGAAAAAATTAAATTGCAAGAGAGGGCAAAGGAAATTTTGTAAAGTTTGGGACTACAGGACTTCAAAGCATCAAAAGGTTAGTTGGTTAGACAAATTTAAGCAAATACATAACTATTTATGATCAAGTAAAAATAGGTATGCAACGTGTAACAGACTTGGATTAAAAAACTAAATAAAATTTCTGAAGGATATGAGGCAAAAATATTTACAATGCAAAAGGAACTGGACTATTTAATCAAATCTGCCTAATAAAATGTGCTTCAAAGGAGAAAAGTGCTCTGGTTTTAGAAGCTCCAAGGAAACATCTCAGTGTGCTATTTTGTTGTACCATGGAAGGAAAGCTTGAACAACTGTTTGTACTTAGAAAGGCCAAAAAACCAAGAAGCTTCAAATAAATCAGTCCAAAAACTTTATTGGCCTATTGGTAACACAATAAAAATTTATGGAGGATGCAAAGTTTGATTTCTGAATGGTTGATTGCTCTTGATAAAACAATGTCTAGAAAGGATAGGAGGATTCTGCTATTTCTTGATAATTTGCCAGCCCACCCACCAAATGTCAAATTGAAATCAGTGAAGGTAGGGTTTTTTCCACGTAATGCAATGTCAATATTACAGCTTTTGAACTAAAGTATAATTAGAAGCTTCAAGGCTTATTACATGGAACTGTTCTTATGGCATGTTCTTTGTCACGCTGCTTGCAGAAGCAGCGATCAACTTGCAAAATGCATAAATAGATAGGAAAGGATCTTAAATCCATATCCACAATGTTATGTTAAGCACTGTTTCAAGAAAGCAGAATTTAAAGTACTAGTTTTGAATGTCCTCAGTGAAAAAATAATGAAGAAAATGAAATATTTGAACTTCTCAAAATCAGTAGCGGGGCTCAAATGCAAGAATATTTAGAAATCGATGAAAACTTGAGTACTTAAGCACACCAATGTGACATAAAATCTTTTACTTCAAGTAAAATTGATGATGTTAGCTTTAACAAAACTAGTTTGTAAAATAAGGAGGAAGATGAGGAAGAGCCAGATGAAATGTGTGATATAAAATACTGTACAGATGCCTTAAAATACATCTCACAGTTAGAAAAATTCATGATAACTGTTTGTAACAGTAAACAACTTAATGCATAGAATGCACAGACTTTCATACAAACCTGTGTAATGGAGTATTTTCAGTGAATTTCTGCAAGTACAAAACTCTGTTGTTCATTTGATGCATTTTTCAGTAATTAAACTCTTAACTAAGAATTTTTATTTTTCATTAACTTCAAATTCAGATAACTACCTGTGACTAAATTACTTATTTATATATCAATTATTTAAAACTTGATACAACCTGAATTTCTAATTAAATACATTCTTTTTAGTATGTATATATACCCTCTGAAAAAGAGACACTTCTATTTAAAGGACAAATTATCTGCTGCAGTGAGTGTCTCTTATTGGGAGATACTACTGTCTGGTTATCATAAATTAAGGAAAAATCACAAAAATAGCGATAACACCCTAAAAAATAAGCCAAATCGTGTAAAATTTGAATATGTTGCCAAGTAAGAGTAGCTGAGTAAAACTGATATGCAAATTAGTGGTGCTGCTTTCGGAATACGTCATTTGCGAGGAGCATAAAAGTCCATGTTTGAGAGCAAGCCCACATATTTCACTGTGACGGTGACATCAGAAATCTGAGATAGCCAATTCGTAACAATGACCTCCAGGCATCATTTGCCTGCAGAACTGCAATAGAGAGCCATTGGGAGACTAGAGGCAGGACAAAGTCAAACAGAAGTGGCCAGATGGCTAAATGTGAGTCCTTCTGTGGTTCATAGACTTTGGAGGCAATTTCAAGCCACAGATTTGGCATCTAGGAGGTTCAGCCAAGGAAGGCCAACTGCTACGATGAGTGCCAATGACCGATATTTGACATTATGTGCACGCATGAATGGAACCGCTACTCCGACTCTTCTTAGATCCTGCCATGCTGCAGCCACCAGAAGATTCGTGTGAACATCAACTGTGCGTGGAACTCTCGCATGTAGAAGGCTTCACGAAGGTGGT